CCCCGGCCTCCCCAGCGCCCGCCCGGGCCGCCGCGGCCCCGCTCCGCCCGCCCCGCCCGCGCGGCGCAGGCCTCGGCCAAGGATACTTGTTGCACGGCTCTCTGCGTGGTGGTGTCCGGGGACTGGGACTCCTTGAGCAGCTGCAGGATCTGCTGGAGGCCCTGCTCGTCGGGCTTCCACTCGTACTCCATCTTGTCTCACTGGAAAACACCAGACAACGGGCGGCCGCCTTTAGCGGCGCGGCAGGGCCCAGGCCGGGGGGAGGCGGAGAGGGAGGAAGGAAGGAAGGAAGGGAGGAAGGAAGGAAGGCAGGCCGGAGGGAGGGGGCACCGCGGCGCCCGGCCCGCTCTGACCCTCGCCCCGCAGCGCGCACCCCGCAAACACCGCGCCCCACCAACCGCCCGGCCCCGGCGGTCAGACGCCACTGACCTGCTCCCGCCGCCGCCCGCTGCGCTCCGCGCCGAGCAGACTGAGTCACGGCGAATTTGTAATCCGGCCCGAAGAGCCGCCTGGCGTCCTCCTGGGTCCTAGCGCCGGGCACGCCTCCGCCCGCCCGGGCCGCCGTCAGCCTTTCCCCGGTGCGTCCCACACCGTCAGGAGCCTGGGGGCGACAAAAGGCGGGGCCCTCAATCCCGGCGGCGGGACACGGGGCGCCTCCGCCACCCAACCCCAGAACGGAGAGATCCCTCCAGCCGCCGCGATGGGCTGGGGGAAGACGGGGGGGCGAAGCGGCGGCCCGGCCCCAGCCTCCCGGGAGAGCTGCGGCCGCAGTCCCGGGCAGGCGGCGGGGAGGGGAGGCTGCCGCCCGCGGGGAAGAAGCGGGGCCGCGAAGGCGGAGGCAGGAGCCGGGACCGCCGGCTGTGCTTCTACGTGACTTGGCTGGGCAGAAACCAGAAGTTCCCAGTTCCACGTGTAAGGAGGGAATAGGATCAACTATGCGGATGTGTGGGTGTGCGGGCGAAGAAACTCCAAATAAACTGCTTTGAATACCTAGTGTATCTTATCCTTAGCCTCAAAATATATCAGGGGAGATCTCGGGTCAAAATTAGCAATTTAGATACGCATATACATATGTATACATATAATACATATGCATGATGTACACATTTATATGCACATAGCTGTTTTCTATATATTATACATATGCTAATGCACGAAATAAGAACACAGGCTGCCTAAAGGTGGCCTAAAACATGAAAAACAGTCATTAATTCCCTGGCTTTTTATGATCTTAGTCACTGTGTTTGTAAGAATCTTGCCCAACGATATGGAGACTAGTTTCACTTTCTGCTGCAGGACGGAACTCGGTGTGAGTCCTGCACACCAGAGCACTGGTGTGCACCAGAGCACCAGAGTACTAATGGCACATCCCAGGCAGTTTGCTGCCTGGCTCTTCATCTCACCACCCCAACGCTGACTGACAGTCGGCTGCCCAGTCTCAGGCGCTGGGATGTGTCCCTTCTATTACTATGAGCTGCGATTCTTGTAGGACACAAAATTAGTAGTCCACAGTCTCCAGCAACGCAGCAAAAGGAACCATCACAGGCAACAAGCGAGGCAGGCTGTGTACTTTAATATCTACATATCTGGATAATGAGGACTGTGAAATAAGGTACTTGATGTATCAGGAAAGCACACACGCTGGAATAAGAAACGGGAAACAGCCAAGTAGCAGACAAGTATGCAACACAACACACAAGAGAGCAAAACCAACGGAGAGAGCAAAAACAGCTTATAAAAAAAACCTTAATGGAACATGTTTCTTAAGCTCTTCTATTTAAGCAATTGTGGTAATTATCACAGAGTTATTTGGGAGACAGACTACTAACTAACACAGTGCACCTCTTAAGAGCACTGAAATGTCTGCAAGATGGAGTCACCAAGGCAGCTGTGTAAAGGCATCCCACCAGTTACCAGGAAAGGATGGGCACAAGATTTATATAAAATTTTTGTGACAAGGCTGAATCTCTACTAGTTTCCTTCTAGTACAGGAAACTGTCAAAACGAAGGACACGGACCCCAGCCATTAAAACCAATGTTCATGTTTCACACTGCATGGGCAGGAGAGCTCTCCATAGTGATGCTTGCAGAGCTGGAGCAGAGGTCCAACAAATCAAGGAAGTGCTAATTTGGGCCTCATTCCCCTAACTGCTGACTTACCAGGAAGGTTGTAGAAATTTGACCACCTTTGAGACTTCTGGCCCACTGTCAAGTTTGCTTGAAATTGATTAGAGCTTCAGAAGTTACTATTCAGAAATTAGGACACAAGGATTACACTTGTCTAATTTCATCAGGAAACAAGTGCACTAGGCAAAAATAATATTAAATATGGGAAGCGAGGGAAGAGATCAGAAAGGAAGGTTGAGAGAGAGACAGGAAAAAGGGGGAAGAGATGGCTATGGACCCATAACGAAGAAAAACATAGGTTTCTTTCCCATTAATGTGACCAGAATTAAATCCTGGTAAGTTCTTTCTGCAGTAGAAAGGAGAGGAAAAGGCCTACAAATCACAGTAGGAATGGGAGCCTCTACAGTTAGTAGGGACATCTAAATGCTTTACACGATCATCTTCCAAGATAGGTTCCTTCTTACGTTCCATACAGGATCTTTGGCCACTGAGAACTACTTAGCATATATAAAAATCAAAGCAGACACTGCATCTTGCTCTTCTTGACCATTAAAGTTATTCTTACCTATCTCTAATCCTTTAAACTCTGTAAGGAAGCAGGAGATGTGAAAATAATTTAACTAAGTCAAGAAAAAAACTTCAGACTGAAATCAAAGAACATTATAGAAAAAATGAGAAAGTAATTTATTGTATTTTTTTTTATGGTTTGAGAAACCCGTAACAATTTTTTGTCATTTAGGCAATTATTCTATCACCCGACGACCCCTCACCATCCAGGAAGGAGAACCAGGGAAAACAAGGAAACACAAGGGTTGAAATATAAATAGATTTAATAGGATAAGACTAAATAACGAACAACAATACTAAAGAACCAGTATTGATCCTGATACTGATATAAAATATACAAGGATTATACTAAGCCAGTTAAATCAGTAGAAGCTGTGCACTCCCAGCAGCAGACAACAAATGTTGAACACTGTGAGCGCTTCAGCTTCAGAAGGAAGGGAAGGGCTCAAGGATCCAGCACTGGGCAAGAAGTTCTCCGGACCACCACCATCAAGGGAGAGAGCAAGCTACACAGCAAACTTTCTTACTTATAATGAATGATATGAAATAATCCTGTTGGCCAGCCTGGGTCAAGTACCCAGGTCTCACCTTCTCCTCATCCCTGCACCTGGCAAGGCTCAAAACACCAAGACCTTGAATCCCACAGAGCCTGGCTGTCTATGAAGTTAAGTGTTTTCACAAATTCAGACATTAGAGTCTTCTAAAAGTGCAGTTTTCCCCAGCATATGAAGAAAAGTTAGTCTTCTGTTGCTCAAACCAACTTTGCCTCTTTGTTTTCTACTACCCATTTCCCTCAAGCAAGAATCTTCTCCTCTGGAAAGGAATTCAGAATCAATGTTAAATGAAGTACCAGGCAGAGGCATGAAAGCTACCATTTAAAATATAAGATAGCCCGGTTTATCCCACTTGATCAGTAGAATGCAGCAGAAATAAATTTGAAACACATCACCTACATACATTAGACAAAAGTTCACTGCAGACAGAAGCCTTGAGCAAGTGCTGAAACTAATCTCTGATTTTTCTATTAACCAAGCTTCAGATGTCCAGCTGGATATCAGAATCCACTGGTATCACAACAATGTACAACATTAAAAAAACATAATCAAAAAATGCTACCAAACAATAACCTCTATCTTTAATTCATTTCTATCTCCACAAACCTTGCCATGTTCTACTTGGCTACCCACAAAAAATCCTGGTTTTTTTAATCTTTGGTTTTGTTGCCAATACTGCCATCTGTAAAATTAGTATTTAATTATGGGAATAAATCGTTCAATCCACTGCTAAAATTCAGGCTTCCGCATTTCCATGCGGACTGCTTAGAGTGCCTCTCCATACCTCTGCATATAGACAGTTTGTATGCACAGAAGAAATAACTGAAATGCTGTAATAGCTTTCTGTGTAAACCCTCTTATTTCAGGCTAAGAGTGATGTGGATTAAGCTAAGCAGAAAAAAAGCTCTCGTAACACAGAATAAACGTGTCTATGCAAAGGAGCTCATGCAGAATAGCTACTGCTATATCATTTTGCAATGCCTTCTGCCTGGAGATATGCCTTAAGCTTTCACTTAAAAAAATACCAGTAGTCCTCACATCCAGCATATCAAAGGAGAATCCGTTCTAAAACATTTAGTGCAGTCTTCCTGAGTTCATCCGTATGATTAGTATCTATTACACAATTATTTATTTGAATAGTCTTTACAAGATAGTTTGACCCTGTGAAGGACCGGAGAGGTTACTGGGGAGATAGAGGGAAAGACAGTCTGAAAAGATTTTCCACCCAAGACTGGAATGTCTATGAAATTGATTTTCTACTTTTTGACTGCTGATTGGTTATTACGACACAAGGATTGGTTTAAACAGAAGTCTGAGGAACTTTAGAAAAATATTTTTTAAATGGGATCTAAACATTACTTTTTATTTGTGGAGAGCTATATTAAAACACTAGCCAAAAGAGGCTGTAAACTTACTACCTTTTGGCTAATGCAACAGTAACTAATTTTACTGCTGCAAGTGTAATTCTGTGGAACACAGGACTTCATGGTAATAGTCACAAAAATTGCTGTTAAATTCCCACATGCAGGAGTGGAATCTCTGGTAACTAAGGGCATAAAAAACACTTTTTAAGAGTTCTTTGCCATTCAAGGATGAAAAAGGTTCACTAAGGCAGTACCAATTTAAAGTGGAATGTACGAAAATAAGAATATGCTTCTTGGTAGGGTTAAGATTTTCTATCTGTAACTAGCAAGCAATTTGATAGCAATATTCAAAGCAGCAAATGTACGTGCTTTCAGATAATATCATTTCAGATTTGGGTACAGTTAATTGACCTTCATTTCCTACTGTCATTCATTCCCTGCAGCTGGTAGGTCTAGGAATGGAATAAGAAGCTGAAAAAACTATGAAAAATTATGTTAGCTTTATATCCTCTTGAGACAATTCTTGCTATAATTGGTTTTCTCTTCTGTTGCATATCACACTAGAAATTGTGTATGTGTACAATTGAACCCATAGTACAACACCTCGTAATGAAGCTGAACTTAGATGTCCTGGAACACTGGTCATTTCAATATTGGAGGCAAATTTGCTCTCCACGGAACATCAGCTTGATGATGGACTTTCTGAGAGCACCTACAGCTATGATAATGTACCTGCTTGGGAAAATCTGCTACACTGTTGCCTGTGAGAAAGGGAGAGCTGTTCCAGCTCATCATTATTGTGTTAACCCTGTCCACAGTTTCACAGTTTCTTTTCCCAAAGGCGAAGAGCTGTATTTCTTTTTGCAGATAACATCTGTAAAAGCCGGTGCTGTGGCATTGAGCAGATGAAATAATATGCCTGATAATCTGACAGCCTGTAATTCCATTATTCTGACAG